ACCAAAATAACCCTCCAAAATAATCTTCACCAATAACACTCCATTAAAATCCACCAAAATATTCTTTGAAAATAATCCACTACAATAATCCTCAATAATAATCCAGCACAATAACTCTCCAAAATAGTCCACAACAATAACATTTCTTAGTAATCCACACGAATAATCTACCAAAATAATCCACCATGATAACCTTCTACAATAATCCACCATAATAATCCACCATGATAACCTTCTACAATACTCCAACAATAATCCACCACAATATTCCACCACATTAATCCATCATATTAATCCGACAAAATAATCCACAACAATAATCATCCATAATAATCCAACACAATAACCCTCTAAAGTAAACCACCACAATATCCTTCTGCAATAATCCACTACAATATCCCACCGTAATAATTCACCACAATCCCCCTCCATAATAATTCACGAAAATAGTTCATTAGAATAATCCAACACGATAACGTCTTATAATAATCCATTAACAAATCTTCAATAATAATCCACCACAATAACCCTCCTTAATAATCCACCACCATAACCCTCCATAGTAATCCACCACCATAACCCTCCATAAAAATCCACCACAATAACCCTCCATAATAACTTACAGTTTTTGCGGCACATAACCCACTCTACTGACACTGTCACTGGGCCAGAAACTGTTAGTTTGATAAGAAAGGTAAAATATTGGGAAGATTACAACTCAGCTATAGTGACACCATACCCCAGGCACCCATATACAGCTTGTCCACCCAGCTGGGGTCATTTAAACCCCAGCTGGGTGGTCAATTATATATTTTGTTCTTAATCGCTTCTAATTGTTATTGAAGCCAAACTTCTGAGGTGACTTTATGTTTAATTTACTTTTCAGGACTTTATTCAACATGTTCGGTTCCTGAGTTTATTACGTGTTTTGGAAAATTATAATAAAATGTTGACTTAAGGGAAAAGGAAGATCTTTAGTACGTGGGGTCGACCTGAGGACCTTCGTGACCCCAGCGGGTGACCCCACACACAGACCATGACTCTTCCTGGTTAATAAAACCCTGAACCCAGTATTTTATTCACCTCCTCAGATGACCTGCCTGAACAACCAAATAATTCACCACAATAGCCATCCGTATTAGACCACCACAATTACCCACAATAATAATACACCATAATATCCCTCCAAAATAATCTACCACAATAACCATCTATAATTACCTACGAAAATAATCCAACTGAATAATCATCCAAGGTAGCCCTCTACAATAATCCAACACAAAAACCCTCTGATTTTTCCATAGGGTAATGATAAAGATCAACCATATTAATCAACCACTATAATCCTCGAAAATAATCCACCTTAATATCCCTAAATATTTATTCATTACAATAACTCTCCAAAATGATCTACAACATTAACTCTCCATAATTATACATCTCAATAACTCTCCATATTCATCAACAAAATTAATCCACCAAAATAATCCACCACGAAAACCCACTATAATAATCCCATAAAATATGCTCCAAAATAATGCACCACACTAATCCATCACATTAACCCTGCCAAATAATCCACCACAAAAACCCACCAAAATAATCCACCACAATAATCCCTTTTAAAAATCCACCACACTAACACTATAATAATCCACAACAATAATCCTTCAAAATAATCCACCACAAAAATCCTACAAATAATCCTCCACAATAACTCTTCAAAATAGTCCACCACAATAATCCTCAATAATAATCCACCACAATAACCCTTCATAATAATTCACCACAATACCCCCTGTTATAATCCACCACTATAACCCTCCAAAATAATTGGCCATAATAACATTTCATAATAATCCATGAGAATAATCCACCAAGATAACCCTCTATTATAATGATAAACAAAAAGCAGTTAAAATAATCCAGCACAATAGTGCACAACAACAACCTTCCCAAATAACCCACCACAATAACCCTCCAAAATAAACCACTGCAATTCCACTACGTAATAATCCACTAGAATATGCCACAAGGTTAATCCACCACAAAAACCCTCTATAATAATACAACACAAAAACTGTATAAAATAATCAACCAAAATAACTCTCCAAAATAATTCACAATAGTATTCCTTTGTAATGATCCACCACAATAACCCTCCATAAAAAATCCACCACGATAACCTTCTATGATAATCCAAATTAAGATCATCCGAAATAATCCACCACAAAAATCCACAATAATAATCGACACTAATAATCGACTACATTAATTTATGACATCAATCCTTAATAATTATCTACCACAATAATCCTCCAAAATAATCCACCACAATATCCCACTGTAAAGGGGGTCAGAATTTATTATCCCTCCTGACCATTTATCCGGCGGTAATTAAAGCTTCTGGTGTTCACCATTGTTCCTGCCGGACCTTCAGTCCAACCCTCGTGACCTTGGGCGTTTTATCACCTAGATTCCTCAACACGAGGACGCTGTACTTTGTTACTAACAAACTCTGAGACCTTCCTGCTGCCACCAACGATCCTCTAATGATTCTGTAATCCCGCTAATTGATTGTGGGACCGGATTGCAATTAAATCATTTTCAATCAATTGCCATTAAATCCACGATTGTGGTTCCCAATTATTTGAAATGGAGTAATGAATATACTTTAAAGTGAGGACTAACTCAAACCAAAGAGCTTATATACATTTTAAATCGACAAAGGTGCTTGTGAAGTTCACAGGAGCTTATTCAATAACACACAATGAAACATAAATGGGGGAACAATTCTGCTAAACAACCGAGATCACTTCAATCATTATTTATTATAAAAGTTATGAAAACAAAAGGAGAACACTAACTAACTGAAAACGTCCTATCTGAGGCAAATGATTATGAAATTGATCACTACAACTGTATCTCAGTTCAAGAAAACAAGAAACTTTACCTTAATTTATTAAATTTAAATACCAATACTCCAGGTCAGATGTTGCGACCTTGTCTCAGGGAGAGACCTGTCTTGCCCAGCTGCTGCCCCAAAACACACCAACTGAAAATTTCCTCCCAAGCTGAGAGGCTGACCTTGACATTGTTGCAAAACTACTTCTTAAAGATAATTAACAAATTAGATTCGTATTGACTTGTTACTTTAAGGTGATTAGATTCCTATTCAAAATGAAGGGTAATTACATAAGTACTTGATCCCAATTAATAGTTGAGTACAATATTGATAAATAACATTCATTTTAATAATTTGAATGCATTAACAAACAAGATGCTTGATAGCATTACCGCAGCGAAGGCTGCTAACTGAGCCTAGTGTGTGTATTCAGAAATTAGTTCTCATATTCTAGATGAGTCATCTACACTTGCCGACTAGGAGGAGTTGACTCTTTTCTCTAAACGGCGTTAAATTAACATAACTACTTAAGCAACGTTGATTATTACTACAATTACTATTAATAACTGAATTTATCTATACTTGATGAAATAAACTCACAGGAAGGCTGTAGCAATCGTGCATGCATCACTCCCCTAATCTCTTGAGACAAACCTTTCTGGAAACTCGGGTAGAAACTACCCAGAAACTCCATAACCTAGATTATCCATGTATCCAATACTACACACGATGTAGGTTCCTTTATAAACAGCTAAACTGTTACAACACCATAATAATCTACCATAATAACCCACAATAATAATGCCCCACAATAACCCACAACAATAATCCACCACAATAACCCTCCAAAATAATACACTGTAATAACCCTCCAAAATATTCAACCACAATCACCTTACATTTTAATCCAACACAATACCCCTTCTTAATAATTAACGAAAATAGTCTTTTCGAATAATCCAACTCGATAACGTTTTCAATTAATCCAATAAAAATCCTCCAAAATAATTAACCTCAATATAATCCACAACAAAATTCTTCAATAATGATACACACAATAGTCAACCACAATAATCCACTACAATGTCCTTCCTTAATAATCCTCCACAATAACCCTCCAAAATAGTTCACCTCAATGACCCTCAAAAATACTTCATCACAATAACCCTCAATAATAATCCACCACAATTACCCTCCATAAAAATCCACCACAATAACCCTCCTTAATAATCTGCCACAGTAACCCACATTAACTATCCACCACAATTACTCCCTTTCCACCCTTTCTGGAAACTCAGGTAGAAACTACCTTGAGACTCCTAAACATAGCTTATCCATGTATACCACAATATAATATAATTGTGTATAACACAATTATATATAATATAATTATGTATACCACAATAAGGGATAATCCACCACAATAACCCTCCATAACAATCCATCACAAATATCGCTCAATAATAATCCACTACCAATAACCCTCCATAATAATCCACCAAATAACCCTCCATAATAATACACCACAATAACCCTCCATAATTATCCACCATAAAAACCCTCCATAATAATCCACCACAATAACCCATATTAATAATCCACCACTATAACTCTCCAAATTAATCCACCACTATAACTCTCCATAATAATAACCCTCCATAATAATCCACCCCAATAAACTATAATGATCCACCCCAATAAACTATAATAATCCACCACAATAATCCTCCATATTAATCCACCACAATAATCCTCCATATTAATTCACCACAATAACCCTACATAACAATCCACCACAATAACCGTCCATAATAATCCACCACAATAACCCAGTAATCCACAACAATAACCCTCCATAATAATCCACCACAATAACCCACCATAATAATCCACCACAATAACCCACCATAATAACCTACAGTTTACACGGCACACAACCCACTCTACTGACACTGTCACTGGGCCAGGAACTCTTAGTTTGGTAAGAAATGTAAAATATCGGGAAGATGGCCACCCAGCTATAGTGACACCATACACAGGCACACATACAGCTGGTCAACCTAGCGTGCCATAGAGACAAGGCCTAGCACCATACCCAGGCACCTGTATTGGGCTGGGCCACCCAGCTTGCTATAGTGCCAGGTCTGGCACAATACACAGTGCCCGTATGCAGCTGGTCTACCCTGCTTGCTATAGTGACAGGCCTTGCATCATACCCAGCGCCCATATACAGCTGGTCCACCCGGCTTGCTATAGTGACAGGCCTGGCACCATACCCAGCACCCATATTCAGCTGGTCAACCCGGCTTGCTATAGTGACAGGCCTGGCACCATACCCAGCACCCATATTCAGCTGGTCCACCCGGCTTGCTATAGTGACAGGCCTGGCACCATACCCAGCACCCATATTCAGCTGGTCAACCCGGCTTGCACTAGTGACCGGCCTGGCACCATTCAACTAATGATCTCAGTGAATTAGACACTTTAGCGTTCACTAATGACGATGCTTCTTCTTCAGAGGCAGCCCAGATTTTAGCTCAATGTTCAGTTCATTTATTGGAACTCTGAAAACACTAAATATTTTATAATTCTAATTACTTGACGAAAGTTGATATATATGAATCGATACTTGAAATTTGACTTTATGTTTCATCTGTTTAAGTCAGTTGGTGAATATATTACGTGTTTGGGGAATTTATATCCAAATGTTAAATTAAGGTAAAATGAAGTTTTCTAATTGTATGGGGTCGACCTGAGGACCATCATGTTGACTCCAGCGGGTGACCCCACACACTGACCTTGACTCTTCCTTATTAATAAAGTTATTTTGTTTGTTGTTTAAGATTCAGCTACTGGGAACAAAAAGTTCCAAGTAGCACGGGCTATGGTGAGCCCGTAGTGGACTTACCTGGCACAGAAGCGGGGCTGTAACTGATTTATTAATAAAGTCCTCAACCCAGTAATTTATACACCTTAGATGAAGTGTATAAATTACGTGCGTTAAGAATTTATATTAATAGTTTGAATAAAGATAAATAATAAATCTTAATTATCAACTGTAGGAAACTGCAGTATTATCCTGCTGTAATAACCGCTCCTAGTGGTCTCAGGTAATTACCAATTGTAAATAATAGCAGCAAATACCTGCAGTAATAACCGGAAGTAATAACTGGAATAATATCCTAAAGTAATAATCTTCTGCAAAAGTTTGACATAATAACTCGCCCTAATAATCTCCAGTAATAACACATCATAATAAGCTGACGCAATAACGCACAGAAATAACATCAAAGTTACTACAATAATAGCCTGCTGTAATAATAACCTGCAGTAATAACATACAAAAATAGATTGTTGTTATAATAACTCACAGTAATAACCAACAATAAAAACCTGTTGTAACAATAACTTGTAGATATTTCGCAATAAAATATTATATATAAATTAAGTATCATTTAAACCCGCCCAGTTATATCTTTTGTTCTTAGTCGCTTTTAATTGTTATTGAAGCCAAACTTCTGAGGTGACTTTATGCTTCATCTGTTGTTCAGGACTTTATTCAACATGTTCAGTTGTTGAGTTATTACGTGTTTTGGGAAATTATATTAAAATGTTGACTTAATGTAAAAGGAAGAGGTGAAAGGCACTGGGGTCGACCTGAGGACCGTCGGGACCCCAGCGGGTGACCCCAGACACTCACCATGACTTTTCCTCATTAGTCAAGACTCACCAAGTATTATATAGCAGTCCGTCCTCCTAAGGTTCCCCAACGTCAAGAAACTGTCGTACTAAAGTTCCATTATCCTAACCTACCAGAGGACCCAAAACAGAAAACTGGAGAGCAAGACGCAACAATGGGTATAAATTTAATAAGTTTAGATTTAGGAAAGACTTGGGTAAATACTGGTTCAGTAACAGGGTTGCTGATTTGTGGAACCAATTGCCGCGTAACGTTGTGGAGGTGGTGTCCCTCGATTGTTTCAAGCGCGGGTTGGACAAGTATATGAGTGGGATTGGGTGGTTATAGAATAGGAGCTGCCTCGTATGGGCCAATAGGCCTTCTGCAGTTACCTTTGTTCTTATGTTCTTATGTTCTTAAGAAAATTTCGCGAGTCGCTACCATTTTTCAGTACGACAATTTTAGGCCTTAGTTAGAGCATACGTCAAAATGCGACGTTCTATTTGGAGGACGGGTTGTATATAGACCTTCACCTCAACACTAAGTGACACTAAGAACCTTTATCTGAAGGAAGTGATAACCATTAAGGAGTGAAAACTGCCCTCAAGTACTTATGAGAAAAGTCTTAATACAAGACTCCTGTTATTTTAAGACTGAAAACGTTGACTCGTGTCAAGACTGTTATGACCTCTGGGTCATCAGAGGTCACCAGTGTGTTTACTTATGTTGGCATTAATCAACGGTTGCACTGTAGATATCACGTGATCATGTATACTTTGTAGCTCGCTTACCACGTAGTCATGTATACTGTAGAGCTGACCTTACAGCCACGTTGTCATGTATACTGTAGAGCTGACCTTACAGCCACGTTGTCATGTATACTGTAGAGCTGACCTGACAGCCACGTTGTCATGTATACTGTAGAGCTGACCTGACAGCCACGTGGTCATGTATACTGTAGAGCTGACCTGACAGCCACGTGGTCATGTATACTGTAGAGCTGACCTGACAGCCACATACTCATGTATACTGTAGAGCTGACCTTACAGCCACATACTCATGTATACTGTAGAGCTGACCTGACAGCCACATGCTCATGTATACTTGACAGCCACGTATTAATGTATACTGTAGAGCTGACCTGACATCCACGTGGTCATGTATACTGTAGAGCTGACCTGACGGCCACGTGGTCATGTATACTGTAGAGCTGCCCTGACAGCCACGTATTAATGTATACTGTAGAGCTGACCTGATGGCCACATATACTGTAGAGCTGACCTGACAGCCACGTGGTCATGTATACTGTAGAGCTGACCTGATGGCCACGTATACTGTAGAGCTGACCTGATGTCCACGTATACTGTAGAGCTGACCTGACAGCCACGTGGTCATGTATACTGTAGAGCTGCTGTGACGGCCTGTTATGATCTCAGGCTTCATGAGAAACGAGTCTCCCCTTGAGAGTTATTCTGCCAGGTCTGATCCAGCTAAGAGGTTAAGGAGATATAGACCTAGATATTCATATAGTAAACGCTCAATTGAATTTGGCAAATAATTTGCTAGTATGTGCACTGAATAAGGATATAAATAAATGACTGGTCATAAGATGTGGAGAGTTTGCTGGGGGCGTGAGGCTCGCTTCTGAGGACGTTGACCCCCACTTGAGCACATGAAATCGTGAGGGGAAGTTGCGCTCAGTTGAGCTCCTGTTAGAGAAGAACCCCCTAGTTGGTATACCTTCAAGAGGAAGGAAGTGTGCAGACGTTTCAGCTGTGGAATCATTCTGAAAACGTTGTGGGCTCAAGTCCTGGCCGACAGGAAGAGTTGTGAAGCCGCCCAGAAACATTTTCGGGGGCATCTGTGTGTGCGCCCTGGGTCAGGCGTCATTGAGTGAGCGCCCTAGCAGAAGACAATTTTGTGGTAAGCACAATTTTAACCAGTTAATAATCATTGCCTGTAGTTGGTCGTGTACCCAACGGCCGTAGCAAGTGTTTATTGATATGTTAAGCATGTTTTGATAAGGCAGAAGGCCTAAATAAGAGAGTAAAGATGGAGGAACATCCTGGAGGTTGGAGCGACACCCTTTCCCTCCGAGCACTTGCGGGTGACTGAGGAGAGCCTAGCTCCTGACGGAGTAGCTGCTCCGCCACGGCAGGAGGAACCGCCCAGTGGGAGGCGGAAGATGGATTCGTCCTGGATGGGGGAGTCCATACTCACGGCGTTCGGGAAGCAGGGAGATGTCAGGTGAAACATTTATTGTGTGTAGTTCATTTCAGTTAAATGTTTGTAGTGGAACATTTTTTATTGGCGTATCGATGGGTTGTAGGTTTGTTATGACACTATCGCTGGCACCACGTGCGCTCCTCAGACTTTGACGTCATGGGACCAATGGTGCGGGTGAGCGTTCGGCGACGCCTAAATGTGTATACTCGTTTCAGTTCTCTCACCTTAATTCCAAAAGCCTGGCGAGACTCCCCGCAGCAAAGCCTAAAGTCGGAAAAGTTACCGTGAGTGCACAAAACCAGTAAAATGTGTATACTCGTTTCAGTTTTCTCACCTTAATTCTCGTGCCACGTTGTTCGTTTTGGTATCATTGTGTTCGCAGTTAAATTCCCAGCAGATGTATAGGCATATAATGTCCAAAAGCCTGGCGAGACTCCCTGTAGCAAAGCCTAAAGTTACACGTGAACGAGCACCAATTTGCACACCGCAGCCTAATGTGTATACTCGTTCAGTTTGATAACATCAGTTTTCATGTTACATCGCTCGTTTTGGTACCAAGTTATTCGCAAAATAAAGGCGCGCATTTTAAAACTAGTCCCATAATAATAGATCAATAACTGGAATTTTAACAAATATTTTAATTTTGGAAGCTCATCATCACAATTATTTATATATTTCCAGTGTTCTGACATAAAATTTCTTATTAAATCGCTCGTTTTGGTATCAAATTGTTCACAATATAAGGTCCCGCATTCTAAAACTAGTCCATAACAATAGCATAATAAATAGAATTTTCACAAATATTTTAAAATTTAAAATGTAGACCCAAAAAGTATTTATAATCTTTCAAGTGTTCTGACATCAAGTTTCGTGTTACATCTTTCATTTTGATATCAAATTGTACGCATTCTAAAGGCGCTTTTTTTGAAACTATCCCGAGGTTGATCGGATAAAAAAATGCATTTTATTTATATATTTTTGTAGTGGACGCAAGTCCTGTCCTTGGCTAGGACTGAGGACAAAAAAATGGACGCGAGTCATGTCCAAAGAAAACGATAGTGATAATTAAGAATGAAAACGTTGACTCGTGTCAAGACTGTTATGACCTCTGGGTCATCAGAGGTCACCAGTGTGCTTACTTATATTTTATTTATTTATTTATTTTATTTATTTGTGTACAAGAAGGTACATTGGGTTTGTGAGAATACATAGCATAGTATTTATAATCTTGTAAAGCCACTAGTACGCGCAGCGCTTCGGGCAGGTCCTTAATCTAACAGATAATTTTAAGTAGGTAAAGTAGGTAATTTTTAAGTAGGTAGATTATGTTGGCATTAATCAACGGGTTCACTGTAGATATCACGTGATTATGTATACATTGCAGCGTGCTTACCACGTATTTATGTATACTATAGAGCTGACCTGACAGAAACGTGGCCATGTATTCTGTAGAGCTGACCTGACAGCCACGTAGTCATGTATACTGTAGAGTTGACCTGACA